CCGGAGCCCTATGGAAGACCGTCAACAAAGAGGAACAAAAGTAAATAAATAATTAAAATTACTATTAAAATCCTTAATAATTTAAAAATTAAATAGTTAATTATTACGTAAGTAATTATTATTTAATAATTATTATTTGTCAGTTGTTATTTAATTAATGATTATTCTTTAATTAAATAAAATTTATTAATTATTATTATTAAAATAGTTAAATTATTAAAGATAAACGTAATTAAATAATTAATTAAAATTAAATACAAAAATGTAAAGATATGAATTAAAATTTAATAAGTGATTTGTAATATAATTTTATTGCAAAAAATAAAATTTTCGAGATCAAATTTCTACTGAAATTGTTGTTCAGTTGCAAAAAAGAAGCGCCGGAGCTTCCTGATTTAGGGTTCCGGTGCGCTCCGGCTAGAATTATGATTTATCCCCAAAACTAAGAAGTACCGGAGCTGGGCTCCGGTGGGCTACGGCGCAATTTAAGCTCTGTCTGTAATAGTTTTATCAATTAAAAGTTTTACAGTTATTTTTTTTTTCAAATTCTTAAATTGTTGACAGTCAAAAATAATTCGAATGAATCATTTTCCATCCCGTTTGTTTAAATTTAGACCTTTTTAACAGAAACTTCAATGTTAACATTCGATGTAAATAAAGTGCTATTTTTTTCTTGAAGAAACAAGTTGAGATCGTTTAGTTTCTCAAAATATTTGCAAACAGGCAAAACTTTGATTGCAATAAATCATTTTGAAAAACAGCAGCAAGACCATATTTTTCTTTGATTAAAATTATAATGATTTCATCTTTTAATAACAATAATCTGAGATTTCGTCCTCTTGTTTATCATTATAAGCAGATATCCTCAGCCCGAGGGCTTATCACTATACTAGTAAAAAGAAGAAGCTGCGAAATTATTACAATATTGATTTAAGCACTATAGCTGATTTTCTGAAGAAATGAATAGTCTCTTCATTAATTTACGCTTTGTTCAAAAACAGGTGAATTTTCAAGGATTTGTGTAATTATATCGTGGCAAGTTTTAACTTTTGATAAATGAATGAGCTTATTATATTAGTAAATAATGAAATAGGCTAGTATCTATATAAATTTTATGCATTCGTGATTTAGGTAGCTTTCCAAAATGTTGAGGTGTTCCTAAAGTATTTATTTGGTTTGTCTGCTAGTTTACTGTAAAGGTCAGGTATATTTTTCGATATATATATACTGAAAAATCTCCAAATCTCCAAAACACACAGGCAGCTGAAAACCATGTACTTCAAAAGTCAGTTTTATTCACAAGAACATAAAAGCTGCTCCTGGGTGTGGTTAAAGGATTTAGAAAATATCGAAATGTCAGAAATATGACCTCTGCAGTTTGTGCGTAATGTCTGACTTCGGCTTATTGAGAAGGAAACAGAACAAAATACTTTCTGCTTCATTCGGAAAAGGTTCCGGGTATCAAGTATTTCGAGCTAAAGAAATTCGAATTATTGAGAAAATTACATTAGTATTTAATAAATTTCGTACATTCGTTTTGAAAATTTCGAAGTACTAAATTTTAGTAACAGATGCTGTAAGCAATTTTATGTTCATTTGCTTTATTACTGAACCTTAATTTATAAATTTTAGCGGTCTCTCGCAATCGTCTCTTTGTCCTCAAAACCGAAAAAATAAATAGAAGCTTAAATTGCTGTTTGTAATACGCTGCATTGCTGCAAAGACAGCAGTTTGAACTTTAACGTATTTGCCTGGAAATGCTGCGACATCTGTTGGATGAAAGTGACACATGAAATAAAGCAGAAAAATCTAATCGATTGGCCTTCCTTGTAACATACTTTTGTTATTACAACTTAACATTTTTTTTAACATTGAAATCTGCTTCATTCTTTTAAAGTTAAAAAATGAATGTTCGGTTTTCAGTGAAAATAAGGAGTATTTTGTTTTCTTGTTCTAAGAATAGTTCATCATTTTTCTTTGGAAAGCTAAAGATAAAAACAGGTAGAGTTTTCGCATTTTGCTTGGGAGTAATCACAAAATAAGCGCAGAAAGTCAAACTGCATTTCCAAGTAATACGTTTCAACAAACGTTACACAAAAAAGGATGCAAATTGTATTTTCTTAGCGGTAATTAAACGTTATTGATATATAGAAAATGGATTTTATACCGAATTTGTTTTCGAGAAATTTTCATTCAGAGTTACATTAAATGGTTACAAAGTGAATCATTTATTTAAATTGTATTTTCTAATTAAAGCTCTTCCTCTAATCTTTGGTATTATTTCGAATTCATGCAAAATACATAGCACCCTTATAATATTTAAACACGTGTGAGATGCATGCACATAAGAAACGAGCAAAACTGTAAAAAGCTGAATCTTTTCATGGTTGTATTTTTATCTTTTATGATGAATATCTAAAGAAATTATTCGTATTATTGAGCTCCTTTTATTATTTTAAATTCTTATGACCGAAATAATGCAGCCTCCTCGCAAACGAGTTTCTTTTACTGCACTGCTCAAAAAAAAAAAAAAAAAAAAAAAAAAAAAAAAAAAAAAAAAGGAACAGTTCTATATCTCCCTTTCTAGTGAGTCGATTGAGGAAATTCAATTTGCATTTTTCATGTCCGGAAAGCGCGAGTTAGGATATGTATTAGATTTATATATACCATTGTTCTAATATAGGTATTTTTACACAAAAATTGGACTTTTTCTGAAATGATGTGCAAATTTTTTCCATACTTCGACTCTACGACTCAAATTATGCCAAACTGACAAGTTTTTTTTCGTACAAGTTTTTTTTTTTTTTTTTAATTAGCTCTCAAAGTTTTAGCTCCTCAATGTTGATTGGAATTTGGTATATATTTATTAATCTTCTCATTTTTATTAAACTTATTTGATTCTTCCTTTCAAATTTCTAAATTTAGACTCATTCTAAATAAATTCGCCCATTTTTTATGATTTATTTTTTTAATTTGTATTTTCAAATAATTATTATAAATTTTTCGAAACAAATTTTGAATTATAATCCATAAAATGTCTATCATCTTCTTAAAGTAGATGTATTTCTAAGCATACCTGCAAAAAATTAGATTTTTTATTCAAAATTTCTGAAGATATACGTGAATTTATATTTTGGCGAGTTTTGAAATTTGGCATATTTGTTGAAAGCGATAATAACATCAAATGTGGTTTGAAATTATTTGAAAGCAGGAACGATGTGACTTTTTTTACGCTCATGCACAATGAATCAGGGAAAGAAAAATAGGTTCCCATATATTAATGAGTTCGCCAAGTGAACTATTCTTTTAGCAAACTGAAAAAAATGAGCAAAGATAAATTTTTACATTTCTCCGTAAATTCCACACCACATTTTATAGAATTTAATATTTAGGCATAATCTGAGTCGTTAGTTTGTGTCAAAATGCCTATATTAGAACAATGCTATATATAAATCTAACACATATCCTAAGTTGCACTTTCGAGACATTAAAAACGCAACTTGAATTCCGTCACCTTGCACAGTAGAACGGCAGATATAGAACTGTCTCTTTCTTTTTCCTCGCAGCGTACATTACATTTACTATTTTCTCCATAATTATATGTACTTTTTTTTTTCACGTTTCCCGGCATGAATTTTTATCTGTGTTACGTACCCATTCTCTTTTTCGCTTATATCATTTGAACAAAGTACTTCTTTATTTTACAATTAATGTGAAAGCTCAAAACGAATGATCAAATCTTACTATAAAAATGAACAATAATTTCTGAAACAGTTAATCAAATATCCAGAATGATTAATCTATCATAAATTGGATTACATTTCTTGGAACCTTTTTCATCTGTGATCAAAACCTATATATTCATAATGTTCTCAATAATTTCACTTATTTAATTGTGGTTTGTTACACTGTACCTTTTCTTAAGGAAAGTATGTCGTTAACCCTTGAAGAATAATGTAGTTTGGGTTTGATTTATTAGATTATGCAAAGCACTCGAGGGCTATCTGCCTAAGGGAAGGAGGCCTTCATGGAGGCATCCCTCCTTTTACGCAGATAGCCTTTAATCCGCTTCGCCTAAGGAAAACCGGCTGGTTTATACGTTACACATGAGGAAAACCACGATAATGCCCATGCAGCCAGTCCGTTCGTCGGGAATCAACCGTACATCTTCGTGCAAATTTCATAAAGATGCTACAAACAAATTTTTTATTCTATCACTTGCAACATATAGCATTTTTCAGCAAAAATAAGTATTTTAAAAAAATAAACCCTAAAATTTCCTTAAACATAAAGGAACAACTGCAAAGCAAAATCAGAGAGGTAATACTTTCATATTATATAAAAGTGCACTATTTTGTAAATTTTGTATAACTGTCCCCAATAAAATATTAATTAAAACTATTTCTCAGACTAACCCTTTCGTTGAGAGGGCTGTATAAAAATTAATATTTGTTAATAAAATGTTTCTTCTTCCTAGCGCTGAATTTTGTGAAACTCTGTTTTCGATCTTAAAAGTTCAGATCTCGGTATAATAGCTATGGCTATAACGTCTATAGCTGCCTTTTTCATATGCCATGTATAATGCTTTGTTCCTGCATTTAGCGACGGAAAAGAATTTACTTGCTATAAAAAATTTGAGTTCGCATTTTGTTGATTTCTCATTTTTGCTCCTGTTCTTGTCCTCGTGTCACTCGGGTAGGAAAATGCTCTACAGGTGTTCTCCAATAGTGACACATAAAAAAAGCAAATACGTCCAAGAAGGATTTTAAATAGGTAATTTTCAATATGTAAACTCTAAAATAACCATAACACTGAATTCGAACAGAACAAATGATCATTCTCTATTTCATTTGTCCTGTTCTTTATTGACTATAGCATACTCATACTTTCTGCAATGCTTTTTTTAAGAATGACCACTTAAAACAAATCAACTCTGAACTAAACAACACGTAACTTCACCCATACAGTAATTTCTACCAATCTAACAATTCTCTTTTCAGGATTACACATTGACACTCTACCTGAACCAATTCTGGACCGACGAGCGCTTAAAATTCAGTAAAGATAACTATGAATTAACTCTTTCTGGTGACTTTGCTGAGAAGATATGGGTTCCGGACACATTTTTTGCAAACGATAAAAACTCTTTCTTGCATGAAGTTACAGAGAAAAATAAAATGGTGCGATTGAAGTCCAATGGAGAAATTGCATATGGTATGAGGTAAGACAATTTAAGATCGTAATACTAGTCTTAGATTTAAGGAAACGGAATTATTTTAGGTAATATTTTGCCATATGTAACGCTGCGGTATTAATATTGAAGAAGAAGACAATACAAAGGGTTTCGTTTGCAGTAATAAAAAAAAAAGGTCCAGTGATTTAATAGTAGATATGCTCTAAAAACGTAAAGATATTTTTTTCTGGCATATGCAATGTATGTTTCTGGCTTAATTATTTTTGACATTTTTCTGCATAAATATTGAAACTGATACTCTGATAGAATTTAACCACCTTTCAACTACATTTCAGCTTATGCAAATGTAATTGAAAGACATAACGAAAATAACCAGACTGTCAGTGTTTAACTGAATGCAATTTTTTTTCAATGTTTTCATTTCAGCACCGAATTTTAATGTTTAAATTTTTTTCTCTGCGTGGAAAGGGAATACTTTCTTGTGTACGATTTTAGCAGATGAAAATTTCTATGATATACAGAAATAATAAAATAAGTATTTACAATAATCAATACTAAACATGTTATTAAGAGGGTGCCATTATTATTCGAAAACCTCCAAAATGGTAATATTTAATGTATTTTTTCCATAAAAAGTAAACATAAAATTCTGAATTTTTGGATTGAGTAATTTTTATTCCTTTAACATTTTGTTCCAAACTTTGAGTTCTAAAACATAACAAATGTTTAGACTGAGATGGATTAAATACGACTGTGACTTCAACTACTATATTGCTTTTGAAGGCATCGGGAGGGGCAGAGAAAACAAGGTATTTTTATAGTGGAGAAATCTGTCGTTATTATTGCGAACTACAATCTTTTCAAATAAAGGCGTATAAAAGAATGGTAATATAAAAAGCGAAAACAGTTGGATTCTTAAATAGTTTTTACAAACTTACTGGCTAAAGTAAATTATATAAATTTCCTTTTGCTGTACTATAAAAGTAATTACGAATCGAATGAGTTTTACATGAAAAGTCTGAGTTAGGGTTACTTGAATTACTGTTAAGCAAAAGAGGACTATATGCCAAACACGATAGATGCATTCATCATTTCTATTTGATTTTCCCCATTAGTTGACGAGTTCAATAAACATATAGTTTTGAGGAAATTGTAGTTAATGTCTTCTCCGATATGGTAGTAAAACTTCTTAATTTCCAGATTTCATTAAATTTACAGCAATTCTTTTACGTAAGTGTTCTGAAAGAAATGTACAGAAATAAATTTCTAAATAAATGACTGAATGTTGCACCTATCCAATAAATGAGAGTACCTCTATAAGGAAAAGTAAAATATGTACCAATGTTTATTTTACGACTCTTTTAATCAGAGTAATGTTTTAATTCAGTACACATTTAGAAGCAGAACACTTTTCTCAGCACTTTGACCAAATTAAACGCTTCGAAATTTCATGAGATAAAGAGTGGAAGTGTTGCGACATCTGTTGACAGAAGACGAAACTCAAAGAACATTGTTCAGCGATACTCTCATTGTAAAAACAACATTTTTTATAATAATAATTCCTGCCGTAGGAGGAGTCTAAAAAATGATTTTAATATCTATCGTATTTAAAATAAATGCACTTATCAGTTTAACCTTTTCATTTTTAAAACTATTTATAGTTAAAATTATAATAAATTTTAACTTTGAATTGAATGGATGTACTGACATTTCGGATTGAAATTATATATAATTTATACTCCTCCTAATCCTCGAATTCGGTAATAAAACCAACACATTTGGTTAAGAATTTTATTATATTTACGCTCAAGTTAGAGATAAAATTTTCGAACAAAATCAAGATTTTGGCTCAAAATTTCATAGACATTTGGTTTTCAGAAAGCATTACTCCTGAAAGAGGAAAACATCATTTAGTGATTGTGTTTTCTTGAATATTTGTTTTACAAGGCGCGGAATTCCTGAAAATATAGTTAACGTATTGCTCATCATTGGATACCCCTTTCAAAAATTAAGATTAATAAAAAAGCTTTTGCTTTGAAAGGCAGTAAAAATGCAAATAGAAGTAGAAGCCAATTGGGTTTTATCTTCTATTTGCATTGAAATTTGAGATTTCTTTTTTATTCAATGTTTAAATTATGTAAAAAAAGTACATTTGTTTTAAAATTATTTACTGTTTTTATGAGTGATGCATATTCGGAAAATTGATAATTCATTGAAACTTCATTCCACAGCCCAACATTATCTTCGTAGTTAAGGTAGCATGTTAGCAGGTACATAGATCAGATCACATAATGTTTGATCCTGCAATAGAATTTCTGCCTTTCTTTATAGTAATTCCTGATTAGATTTGATGTCCTTAATCTTCCACAGCAATCTTTTCATGATTAAGCTAGCTTTCTAATGTAATTGTTAAATTCTTTCCAAATTGTTAAATTTATTTAGATATTTTTTATATGAGGTTTGACATACTTGTACTCAGACGTACGTTTTTAAATGACTGAATTAATCTTGACAACAGAGTGTGTATAAATCTCTGCGAAATAAATAACTTGCAAAATAAACAAACCCTACAAAATAAATAGAAAAAATTGGCAAAAAGAAGGAGAGGTCTTATTTTCTGGTATATATGGTATCGTTTTTCAGATTTGAGAATTGATAATTAATCAAAAGAGCAGATTTTTACCTCTCAGTTCAAAATGTTTTAGATTTATTCAGCATAATCTTTATTATTATTAAAATTACTAAATTTTAAACGCATTCATCATTAACTATAAAGATCGATAAAATTGTGTAGTTAGATTTAAAATCAGATGTTTGGTTCGTAAGTCATTTAACATTCAACATTTGCGTTCAGATATGTTCCTAATAAATTTCTGTTTTTGAACTATTTATTACTAAATTAGCATGAATTTATAATCGTTATACTTTTCCCCTCAGATTCACAACAACACTCGCTTGTATGATGGATCTTCATTACTATCCACTAGACACTCAAAATTGCACTGTAGAAATTGAAAGCTGTAAGTATTTTTTTTAGTTATTTATTTTCTAACTTCCTTTAAAAAAAACTCAGTTTTAAAACTGCTAATGGATCAAAATTAAACATATACGTGAGACTGTTGTTTATTATACCTACCAGAAATGGATTTGATGAAAAGTTTTAAACTTCTTAGATGGCTGTTCTGATGCACATATACATATATATTTCTCTTTAAAACAACGATAATTTGAATCTGAATATTTAGTTGTTAGATGAAAATGAAATCAGTATTTTCTATGCACAAAGTTTTCAGGCCAGATGTTTTCAGTCGTTAACATAATTAAAACAATTAATTAAAAACTTTATTTAATAATATTCAATGAAATTAGATTAGGTTAATTTCCTTCCTTCTCTTTCAGTCCGTTTCCTTTTCGAAATGTAGGCATGTAGGGTGGCTCATAAATATTGATATATTGGTTGGTTAAATATTGGTTTAATCTCTAAGGGTAGGTAGGGCACGGCATAGGGATTGAGAACTGCATAACAACCCGTGTTCATAAAATATTGTACGCCGCTAAGTGGTGCTGTTGACGAGGACTGTGTACAATGTTTGGGCAAAATTGGTCGGCGGATCGGCGATTGCTTAGTCGGTTCTTACCTGCTGCGATCACCAATGGCGTCAACAGATTATCTCATCATTTTGGAACAGTTTATACCAGGTTTACTTTCCTCTGTGCCACAAAATGTGAGACCCATTTTGATGCAATGTGAGACGGTAAAGACTTAATCATAATTATTTATTTGTTTAAACGTGTGATATAATTTCTGACTGACTTTTCAAGCCATTTATATTGTGAAATCATAACTATCTAGTTTTTATAAGTCTGTTATAATATCTGGTGATTTTAGCATTAGTGTTAGTACATCATTAAAGTAATTTAATAAGATTATCTAGCTTATTTATCACGTTTTATAATTTCAATAATCACATTTTGTAGTTTCAATAAACTACAACTCTAGTCTGGAGGCAGAGTGAAGTAAGATGGAATCAGCTCCATCTTCTTCAAATTACCAAATAAGACCTTTGAATGCGTTTTTTGCTTTGTTTTATGTCACTTGCTAAAACGTGCTATTACGTCTGTAGCTAATGAACAGTGTTATACAAGCAGTTATCATAAAATGAGATATTTGACTGATTCAGACATTTTTAATATAGCATAACTAACTACAAATTGAAAAAGAAAACGAAAAAACTTCAGTGTGAAGTAAGTAAAAGAGAACTATCGAACTAAATTTATCCTCTGTCCTCTGTACTGAACAAAAAAGGGCAAATGAAATAAAACTTTGAAAATTAAGTTACGAATATATTTTGTTAATGTTTTAAGTTAGGAAAATATTTGAACAATAATGTTTCTTGAATGTAGCCTGATGGTAGTTTTCTCTAGGCCGTTATAAAACATAATACAATAACTGCAGTTTTCAGGAATAATAATAACGCACATTGCAGGTTATTTTGCTTATGATAAAATGCACTAGTGCTATTTGCATAAGGAAATGGTGACCTTTGAGGAGGTTTTTCGAAGGTAAACTGGTTTGTGTTCACGTTACACTTATAATGCATAATATCCAAAGAAATAATATAAATTAAAGGCAGCTCAGATTTATTAGAATAATTAATCATTTTAGGCTGATGGAGTCCCGACAGTATCATTTTCATGAGGATAATGACATATAAAATGCCTTAGTGGATATTGAAACTTTTCCTCTTAAATATTGTAAATAAAGTCTCAGACAAATCGCTCTCTGATTGTTTAAGATAGTGAGCAGTTGGCTGGATGGAAACAGGATTATCACATATTAAAACAGCAATGCTGATCTCTACATCAATCATAACGTGCAAAATCCATTTTTTCAACACTTTTTGGGTCACGAATTCCAGTTCTAGATTAACTAACTTTTATTTGCGTGAAAATTTCTGGAAGAAAATTTTCTGGCTCCGAGAAGAAGAATAACACACATATTTCTCAGCTAATTTCTGATCATTCTCTAATTACAGAAATGTTAACATCTACATCTTCTGTGAGAAGGATTTTCGTCCAAGGAAATCTTATCAGAAGAAACCTTCCTAACCTATTTATTCCTTTAAACATGGCAGCACTACTGAGATGGGCAGTGGCACATACGTGATGAAGCAAGCGATAGTGGTGCTCATTATTATTATTTTTTGGAGGTTACGTCAAAGCATATTCAAATGCATTCTGTTCAATTGCATAATTCCGTGTCATGATCTACATGAACTCAGCAACTCTTCCAATACTTATGAAAGAGACAATTCCGAAAAAGAATTATCATAGCTTAGGGAATAATTTCATTCAGTCTACCACCATCTTCAAAAGAAAGCCCTATCAGCATGTGATATCATCAGTTGTTGCAGTCTTTGTTTAGATGGTTGTCCTACCCTGTCTTCTAAGTTATGAAAATGAAGAAACCTTAAAATCTCTGTAATATCCAATAGAAACTGAGTGAATAAAAATCACCAAACTGAGCACTAAAATTTAGATCCTGTTAAAAACTTTGATTGTATGAGAGTTTTATGATTTCTTTCGTGCGTGGTAACAATGAAAACTAATTTTCCTTAAAAACCTCCTACATGAAGGCTCTTATCTTGAGATAGGAATGAGCATCGCAGCAATCAAATAATCCACTCTAATCGAAGAGATGCTCCAGGATTTTATTTCTAAATGAAGAACTAGCAACTTTGTTGGTTTCACGAATTAGCACGCACTTAGTGAGGGCTGGTAATAATGCATCAAATTTATTCTTTTAGAAAGAAAGGTTTAGTTTTCTTTTTCATGACTTTTTTCTCTTTTTTAACGTGCGTTATATTTTTCAAAAGCTTAAATAGCACAGGAAATAAAAAATTGCAATATATTATCCTGTTAGCTATCCCTAAATCATATTTCAAGTTCCTATTCCGTTTTTCTTAAAAATTATATAGTAATTTTTCTATTCGTGACCCCTTTTTATCAGCGAAATTTTTTCGTGACACCAGAAATTAAAATATAAATTAATATATACAGAAATAAATATTTTTTCATAAATAATATATTGCTTTGGCAATTAATATAATATGAAAAGTTATTTTAGGATTTATTTCAAGTATAAAAAATTAAGGAAAGAAATCCTGTTTTAATGAGACGGATGTGTTTGTTTTTTGCCACATAACAAATTAAATCTTGGTACAATATTTGGCACAGCTGTATGTAAAGCATCTTTAATATTTTTCAACGTTAAATGATATTTGGATTTAATAAATGTTAAAGATGAAAAAAAATCGTTTGACATAATAATCGTTTCGTATTGAATAGCAGAACACTTAATGCCATTTCAGATGTGCGATATTTCACTTTCTGGATCCGATCCGAAAGTCAGTCAAGGATTTTAGGGAAACTCAAGTTTATATCTGAGTAGCTCGATAGCTCGCGAATTCCACTTGAGCTTTATGGCAAAAGAATAATCTCATTAATGTCTATTAAAAATGATTTTTGAAACCAAGATAACATCTGGTTTCAAAACTGGTTTTAAAATTCAAAATTCGATATAAATTACTTGCAAAACTGTGTTTCTAGTCTTTCTCAGTGATCTCTAGCAATTTGTGCAAATAAAGGTTTACAATTATTTCTTTTCAACTGTAAAATTATTGATAATCAAAAACATTTCCAATGAATCATTTTCCGCCCTATTGTTGATCTTTTTAATAAAAACCTTTAATTTTGTCATTCGAAGCAAGCATACATCTATTTTATCCTTGAAGAGGTAATTTGCAATCGCTTCATTTCCTGGAAATATGACAAATACAGATGATTTAGATGACAGAAGCTCTTTCCGTAACATTTCCAGGGATACTGCTTTCCATTTCGCTTCCATTACTTTCCAGAGTTATCAATCGCGAGGGCTAGCACTTAGAACTCTTTTCAAGAGACTACAGTCACAATAGTTCATAGGAGAAATGTCAGGGGACTTACGAGGAATACCTTGAAAAGATATATACGCAATATCTGAACAAGTCTTCATTGTTTCAAAGAATGCAGTGGCGCCTTCCGAAGTATGACTTGTTGCTTTGTCTTAATGCAATTTCGCTTTTTGATAGACACTGTGATAAAAAAGTGTTCTTTTCTGTGCATATTGGGCGTAAAACTTTCTCTTAATAGTATCTTGAGCTGATTTTAACATTTTAGCCACTGTTCTTATTTTAAATTTCCCATTGTAAGAAAATCCTCCAAAAATGATAAACCACTTGATGAAATTCCTTTGCATTGACGGAAATCAGTTCGTACATTTTTTACTCTTAGTTTTCGACAATAAACTTTGTTTTTTTGCTGCAAACATTTAGGTAACCTCATGTTTCATCAAGGGTCACAACGTATTTCCATTTTATCTCCAGCTAAATACTTTTCATACAAGGTTCTTCAAATTTTTCTGCGTTGAGCCACATGCCTCGATAAAAGCTGGATAGTATTATATTTTTAAACTTTTTAAGTTGTAAATTTTGGTTTATTATTTTAGTTATTGTTGTTACGGATGTATTTAAAGATTTTGCAATTTATTTCTGGCGTCGTGCCTTTTCCGTACTTTCGTTTGTAGTCTTTTATCTATGTAGAAGTAATGACTCATATTTTTGCATTTTTTATTAATAATGTTGCTTATTTTACACTTATAAATATTACTGTCTTGCGTTTCACAACATTTTTGAATAATGGAGAGGAAATATTTTTCTTCCGAAAGCACAAAAGCGAATCCTTCAATCCACGGCTTATTTACATATGACATTTTGAAAGAAGAATAAATTTGAATGTAGCGAACAATGTTTCTTATTTTAAATGTTAAGCTGATTTCAGAAATTTTCATTGCAAAATATTTGCTTTTTTTTAAATTCTTTACCGAAATTGTTCTGAAAAATATAAACATCCTCTATTGCACAGCTTTGAACGCCAAAATCATTTTGAAAAGAGCAGATAAATCAGATTTTTCTTCCATTAAAAATATAATAATAAATTTTTAATAATATTCTTCTTCTTAATCTTGCCCTCATGATGTCTATTTTACTTTTTATTGTAATAAAAAAAATTTTACATTCGGAGTCCATGCCATTACAGAGATTTAAAAATAAGCGGCTCTTAAAAGCACAGCTTTTAATAAATTTTATAACTTTCGCAGTATCCTGAAGCACATCGTTCAATTCTATTGCTAATTTTTTGCTGCAAGGCCCTCTGAACAACAGGGGAGCAACCACCGGCTTTCTAGCTAAGACCTGTACTTAGACGGACTTGGCTCCTGGCTTACGTAATCAGACTTCATAGTGACTAAAACCACGATTCTTCGGTGGTAGATTCAGGCTCGGCAAGGACTATACTGTTACTGTCTTGTCTATCCCTTGATTGGATATCGAAGGTCGTCCTTGGGAGTTTGCTCCCTTTGGTCAACACTGGTGTCTGACATCGTTCTCTTCACAGGTGACCAGCTGGAGTCCGGTCGCCATTGACTTGGGTGCTTAAACTTTTAAGCTACAAATACATGTGAGACACGTATTCTGGCCAAAACTGGTTATTACGGGCCTGGCCAGTTGGGCATCGGTCGGAACAAACGTAAATATTATGGGCATGGCCCATGAGGTAAATCATCATGGTCCAAATGTAAATATCACGGGCATGGTCCGTGGTACAATGATCGAGACAAATGCAAGCATCACAGGGCGTGGCCCCTGGTGCGACGGTCGCGGTTTTATTTTGCCTCACCACAAACAGCAAAGATGTCAAAGTAAATTTCTGAATAAATAATAATTTCCAATATTGGTCTTTTCAATCCGTACACTTTATTCAACAAAATAAGTAACAGGGGAAAAAAGTTACGTTTATTATAGGATCGAAATAGCCGAATCATTACTGAAGAATATGCCAAAACCAGATTATAAAGGACGGAGACAATAATCGTACTTTGATATACCACAGAGACCGCACGGAAAACATTCAACTAATTTTCTTAAACATACTGACCCAACAGTACCAAAATTAAAGCCATCAAGAACTTGAAAAGTTTGCGCAAAAAATAAAAAAAGTAGTGAAACAACGAGGGAGTGCATAAGGTGCAAAGATCCATTACATATACCAGTATGTTGCAAACGATATCACGCCATTGAAGATTATTAATTTGTTATTATTGATTTTTTATAAATGCTAATTTATTCAGGTTTCGCAGAAAATGTTATTGATTTATGTGGCGTTTTAGTGATTAATAATAGATTTTTTGTGCGGTATCTACCTTAATTATTACATAAGGTTGTAATTACTTATCAAATATTCCAGAAATTTAAACCAGTTGTATCTTACACAAGTATTTGCATTCCGTAAATCGTGCGCGTTTGGTAAAATTTATTACCGATTTGCTGAACCGTGGACTGTCTCGAAGTCTGCACGATCTGGTTTACGTTTTGAACCCAGGCCGTTGAAACGTAAATCATAGGTTAAGGGGTTAAAACTTTGACTGAGTGCAATTTTGTTCCTTTGGGTTAGTCGGGGAGTTATGCGTTTTTGTGGCATATGTTGATTCTGAAATAATTGATAAGCTGAAACTGGAATGCGATAACGCTATTGTGATACGCTTAGTGGCAGTTTTCAATGTGAAAGTATAATTTACACTTCAACTTTGGCAATACTGAGATTTTATAATAGCTTTGTACAGAAAATGTAATAAATTAAAGATAATGAAGGTACTGTGATTAATTTTTCTTTAAACTCGTGAATTTGAATTAAATTTTCGCGACCTCATTTGGGGTCTCAACCCACAGTTTAGAAAATGCTGTAGTAAACCATGTTCTATAACATATACTCTGAATTTTATTATTGTAAGAAACTGACTAGATAGTTTGGAAAGATAGCACAATGCATTTAAAGAAGAAAAACAATTCTTGTTCTATGGAATTACAAAATAAGTAATCATTAGTTTGATTTAATTTCAATTCTAAGAAATTTGTTATATTTATCAAGAGTCTGATTTAAGAATGTCAAAGATGTACGCAATTTTATATAGCGCTGCTAATTTCTTTATAAATATGTTTAAAACTGATAGTTTCTGTCCTAAAATATTTTGTCGGTTTTTGAATATTTCATTTTTTCTTTAGATGGATATACAGTGAAGGATGTGGAAATGTATTGGACACAAACCCCAGTTGTAGGTGTAGAAGATGCAGAACTCCCACAATTTTCTATAGTAAAATATGAAACAACAAACAGAATGGAGAAGTTGGCTACAGGTACAATGATTATTGATTTCACTTGAGAATAAAGTCTTCATAAACATTTAGTTTATTAACTGAGACTCTAAATTCCTCCTTATTGTACCTAAAATGACATTGTACTACCTAAAATGATAGTTGTAGAACACTGATGTGTTTTAATTGTATAATTTCTTAGTCTGCGATTATTTTGCTTTATATTGAATTTTGTTGATTAAAATTGTGTGATATCATTATGCCCGTAGATTTTCATTTTCTTTAATTCGCTCAAATATTTACCATAGTGGGTTGTTATTTTTTTCTTTACTTAGTATTTTCTTTATATAATGTTTCTTCTTATTTTATAAATTTTCTGATTAATTTTTACAAATTAACTCCAGCAAATATATTTATTCCTTGCATAAAAGGTAAACAGCTGATTAAGCAAATAATATTCGAAAATCGGTATGTACATGCATTTTAAGCAAAATTTGCCCAAGAGCTATTGATGTTTATCTCATTGTCTAAATAACTTCCACAAACAACTAAAAATGTTTGTTTTAGTCATACGTAGAATTTACCACATAACAGAGACCTTGAATATTAAATGTGGAAAGTTTAAAGCAAATATTCTTTGGACTAGAACAAAAATACCTACTGAAGATAATTAATTTTTTTTGCGTGCCTTTGTTTTCTCACGCATTCACATACCTTCGTTATGGTTCGTAGCATTTTCATTCTAAATGCTTTTTAGATAGCAAAGCTAAATGCTGACATACTGTAGTTATATTGTCAGCAAAATTAATAACCCGGCCTTTATTTTCGCAACCGTTGATCGCAGATATGTATTTAAAATTATAAAAATAACTCAAAGATTCACGTATTTAAGTTAGTATTATCATTTTTTTCGCGTACAAAATACGAAATTTAACTTTTATATTTTTAGCTGCTCCCATTGCTTATATTTAGGGAACCTTTGTATCCGTTATAGAAAATAAAGCGCAAGAACAACAACAGACAGGTTTGAACAGAACAGGTTTTCGTACAACAAAAAAGTACTCGAGATATCTGGCACTAAAGTTGGGTAATCATGTTCAGAGGCCGTATACAAATTGGAAAGCGAAATGTTTGGATTATTAAGTTATTAAAAACAAATTATCGTTTTAGGAAAAGGTGCCTCTTTTTAAGGTATTAGGAGACTAAAAGTACCATATAGATTATTGCGAAATGATCAGTATAAATTTCTGAAAAACAGAGATCTTACTCACAGAATCATATAGAATTCATATTCTAGAAAACAGTGGTACTCAGCCAGCTCGTAATATTATCTTTATTATTTAGAAAGGAAAAATATTTACATTTAATGGAATTTTTTGCATGATGCCATGTGATGATTCTAAAAAGAAACGAACTTCATGAGATATCAGTAGCGTATTTTTAGACAGTGAAATCTTCTAAAGTACTTGTGTGAAAATTCTTTCGGTATGCTAAATGTAATAAAATCATAGGCTAACGTACTAAGTTAATCACAAAACAATAGCATTGCTTTGTCAGCTAAGGAGAAAAAAATCAACGTCGTATTATTCTAATTTATTTATCAACCGGTCCCTCAATAAAAATTTAATATGATGTCTCAAAGTCGAAAATTCTAAAAATCTGTATCAATTTTTGTCGTGCGGGTGTTTTTTTTTCCCATGTTCTGTTTTTTTATAATGAGTGCAAAATGTTCCTAAACATAAGACAAGGGACTTTTGTGGACATGGTGTACATTGGATCTTTTCGAATTCTCCATGCAGTAATGTTTCAACAAGTTTTACAATTCTTACTTCTATTGTCTTTGCACATTACACTACATTGGATTTAAAACAGAACAGAAACATGGAAAAGCAAAAACTAAAATTAACAAAGCAATACGCTTGTGTTTGGCATAGATTTAGTCAAGAACTCAATTGATTTCGAGGGGAAATCAATTGATTTCGACGGGTCCCTCTTCAACAGCATCAAAGACATCTGCAAGACTGAAAAACAACTATTTGATTTGATGTTAATGTATATGCTTAACTGGTCAAGAAACTTGGCCTTCATAAGCTCGATGAAATAAGCCACTAAGGGTATATCACATGAAAATCAATGAGTTGTACTCTCACAGGGTGAAAAGCAATAAGAGAAGAAAAGAAACACTGGCCAACTTTAATTTTTGAACAGGCGATTTCGTATTCTTACATTTTGCAGCAGTCTGCACGATACGGGGTAGAATTTTACTCAGACCATTGTCAGTAATGAAATCCGTCACTTGTTGAGCCGAAACATTTTGCGCTGAAAAGAGTTCTAAGATGGGAACTGTTCCTGAAATTAAAGGGGAGCAGCAGAAATATATCCTTCGGTTTTCCACTGAGCAGGTAGTTTTCTAGACACTTTGCTCTGAGTCTAGAAATAAAATCTGCATTCAGCAAAAGAGGCAACGTGTTGTTTACACTACACACAGATGGATTTCTAGTCCTTCGTCAAATGATTCATGTAGGTGAGGTGAGCTACAACGCGGCTACTTATTACAGAAAATTCGCCAGTGTCCAAACCTTTGATAGCAAATCGTAGGCCGTTTTCTTGGACTATATTTTCTAATGTTAACGTGCAAGTCAAGAGTGTTTTGATAGAATAGGTGTTTCTTTTTTCTTCGATTACGCTAAGTGAAGAAAAGCAAAGAGGAAGTTTCTAGATTCCATCCAGTACTCGCCTCGAGGATTGCTTAACTCTGAGCACTGCAATACCTTTGCTGAAACTTTCATTCATTATTTCATCGTCAGCGAGGCACCAGAAATCCGCAAATAACGATGTTGCTAGGGGACAGAATCTTGCTTCGAAATATGCTGAACTGTACCACTTCTTTCATAAGACAATCAAGTACTTTTTCATGCATACAGATGCAGACAAATTTGATCCTAATTGTATTCTTAGAAAGTATTCTAGTATAGTTTTCTAAACCATGAGACAAGAAAAAGGTTCTCAGATCTTTCCAGGTCACCTCCGTTCTAGGAAAAAGAGTTGGAGGTGGGCCTGTCGTTTCTAGTTTCGATTGGAGGGACTGAATATTCTTCAATAGATTCATCAGACACTGTAACTCCGTTAGGCATATCTTCAGTAGTGGGGCCTGCTGCAAACATTGCTTTTCTACAGAGTAAAACATCTACTACAAAGAAATCACAAATGTTCCGCCCATATTTCTTATTAAATTGAGTCAAAAATCTGATGTTTTGATGAATCTGATGCTCAGGTTCAAGTAATTCCACAGCGAGTGATTTTCCATTATTATAGACTATCAGTGGCAAGGCACTGATGATATCCTGTTCGCTGTAACCGTTAGGAATAGTCCTACAAATAGTAGACGCCCCTGATTTCGTGTTAGTTCGCCTTACAGCAACAGAGACACTATATATAATATATGCAGAACGAAGTTCAAAGACACTATATACAATGTATACAGAACGAAACTAATCAGAGTCCGTGATCACGGGAGGTGGTCACCCGCCCAAATTCAGGCTCAGATGGTTGCTGCTTCATTATGAAGCAGCAACCATCTGAGCCTGAATTTCATTATGAAGCAGTTCAGAAATTCAAAATCCGAAATCGTAGGTAGGTAGGTTACGGAGGACGGGAACGCCTGTTGTTTAACAGAGGTAAACAGGCATGTGTTCCACGACCTCCTCTAACTACAGCAAAATCTCCCTGGAGCCACACAAGGCTGCACCAGGAGATTATTGAGCTTGTCAAAGGGAAGTACATGGAATTACAAGGGATTGTATTACAGATTGAAGAGGCAAGCTGTGGTGTTACAGATGGTAGGTAGTTAAACTAAAAATACTTGTACAATAAGAAGTACACATAAAAACACATAGGCAAACAATACACAAAACACAATGTGTAAAAGGCATAAACAGAGAGCACATAAAACAGGTACATACACATAGTCACTTAAGTCACAAAAAGGCAAATGGAGTACATGAAGTCACATGAAAGCTGGAGCACAAGGTTAGTGTAGGGCAGTTCTGTTGTATATAAATACAGGTGTTTTGCTGACATCAGCCTACCGGCTTTAACACAGCTATCTTGAATGTGAAACACTGAATAAGAAAGATGAAGCACAAAGTGCCGCCTAAAAGAGGAGATCAAAATAAAAAGCCTTGATAATATAGTAAATCCTGCTCCTATTTATAACCTACACAAATAAACCGGAAGAGAAGGTATCGTCATCTGCCTGCAGAAATAGCAACGAAATTTAAAAATTAAGTTAATAGAATTTTAAAAGCGCTAATAAGGATTGAATTGGACTTACAGTCATTATCTAAACAAGATAAACCCTTGTAAATGTAAAAAGCTGCAAGAAAATCCAGTTCCGCCGTGGAAGTAGCTTTCTAGGTAATTCTTGCAGACCCAAAGTCAAAATTATGATTAAATTTCCGACCATGATTAGATTTCTAAGACTTGTTAATTTCGTCTTTTCGGGCATAAGATTCGTGATCCTTGATACAAAACCTTAAAGCTATTTTAGTTTGGAGGTATCTCAAACCACACTGCACGATATGCTATAAATTCCACAAGAATTAAATTCAGCAGAAGAAGCTTTAAGAATTGAACAATGTATTTAATTAGTACTTTATTTCTCACCTATCAATAAAATCTATATCTCCATTCTTAAAGATTCCATTTCTGACGTTAATTCTTGGGAAATTTATAGTATATCATGCCAGTGTGGTTTAAGATGTATCGGTCAAAAAAAAGAGAGTTAAATTTCATATCCAAGAATACGAATCTAATGTCCGCAAAGACGAAATTAACAAATCTTTGATTGGTAATTATAGTTGGTAATTTAATCATAGTTTTGACTTCGCGTCTGCAAAAATTATCCAGAAAATTTCTTCCATTAGTGAATTGTATTTTCTTGTTGCTTTTCACATTTGCAAAGATTCATCTTGTTTAGTGAAATAATTTAAGTTTAGTCCAATCTTTCTTAGTGCTTTTAAAATTTTATTAACTTAAATTTT